CCATCGCCACCGGTTCTCCGGCGAGCCACGCTCCTTCGCGGCACCTCACGTGGAGAATACTCAATGGAATTCTCTCTCCTCGGCGCGGACGCGCTTTTTGCCAGACTTCCCTTCTGGACGACGACCGCGAGAATCCGCGTTCCCCCTCGCCCGCTGCGAGCCCCTAAAGCGCGGCCCTTCCGATTTCCAATAGCGAATTACGTAATCGACGCACGACGAGGCCGGAAACGAGACGCGAGTAAAGCTGAAAGCCGCCCGATGACCGGAAATGAATACTGCACATTTTTCACACCCTCAATTCGCCAAATTAGGTATTGTTATTAAGTTAACCGGAGGAGATCTTCTAGGTCAGAAGTAACTAAAAACTTCAAAAGATTACTTGACCATGTCGGACAAATTTTTATGTTTGAATTCACAACGTTTCGACCATGGTTTGTGGTCCTTTTCAACTGACCTAACAAAGAAATTGTTGAAAAGGACCACAAACCATAGACGAAACGATGTGAGTTCAAACATAAAAATTTGCCAGACATGGTCAAGTAATCTTCTGAAGTTTCTTTTATGTATTATATTATTATATTTCTGACTCTGGATCTCCTCGATCAACTTTATGCGACAATAAACTTGTGACCGATAAATCTCTTACTTCGACAATGGAAATTATTTTGCTGCGTTCTTCCCACCTACAGTTCGAGGCTATCAGCGTTAATTATTCCGAAACGCAGTATGGAAGGGCGCGTCTATTCGTTACTTCGTAAATTTTCTCTGTAACTTTCGATCGGCTTTGGTCAGTCGCGTCGAATCGGCGCGATCAATACCGGTCTGTGACTTGACGATCAATTCGAGTGACGCGGCCGACTCGCCCCGGCGCGACTGCAATGTCTTCCGGTGCGTAGGTACACCAGGAAGCGTAATTAAGCTTTTTTTTAACACGTAATTGCTTCTTCCGTGGCAGCCACCACGACGTGCTCGCCGATTAGTCGTACAATGCTCGCTGTTACTGCTCGCGACCGCTCGTACGGCAGAGACGTTAAGGGGATGCTGGAGTGATTCTGCACTTTCGCACCTTTTGCACTTCAAACTGTCTGTTTCGTGGAAAGATTTGTGCAATACACAAATTAAATGGCACGTGTACAGATGATCAAAAGCAGCTTGCTATTCCGGCCAAATGAAAGAACAATATGGCATCACTGAAACTAAGTTTGTAAGTCTAATAAAAAATAATAGCGAGCAACGTACATACTACATGTACTGCATGTATGTGTTGCTCACTATTATTTCTTATTAGACTTACAAACTGAGTTTCAGTGATGCCATATTGTTCTTTCATTTGGCCGGAATAGCGAGCTGCTTTCGGTCTGTACACGTAAGCCATTTAATTTGTATATTACACAAGTGTTTCCGCGAACTGATAGTTTCTAGGTTAGAAAGGTGCAAAAGTGCAGAATCACTCCAGCATCCCCTTAAGGGATGGAGTGATTCTGCACTTTCGCATCTTTTGCACTTAAAACTGTCTGCTTCGTGGAAAGATTTGTGCAATACACAAATTAAATGGCACGTGTACAGATGATCGAAAGCAGCTTGCTATTCCGGCTAAATGAAAGAACAATATGGCATCACTGAAACTAAGTTTGTAAGTCTAATAAAAAATAATAGCGAGCAACACACATACTACATGAACTGCATGTATGTGTTGCTCACTATTATTTTTTATTGGACTTACAAACTTAGTTTCAGTGATGCCATATTGTTCTTTCATTTGGCCGGAATAGCGAGCTGCTTTCGGTCTGTACACGTAAGCCATTTAATTTGTATATTACACAAGTGTTTCCGCGAACTGATAGTTTCTAGGTTAGAAAGGTGCAAAAGTGCAGAAACACTCCAGCGTCCCCTTTAAGCGTCCCTTTCGTTCCGCGTTTGCCTTCGATCTGAGCGCTCGCGGGGCGCGATTTTTTATTCGGGCGCCGGGGCGAAAAGGAGCGGGCCTAAATCACAGGTTTCGACGCCAGTTACGTTACCGTGATCGATAAAACAACATTCGTAGGTCGTAAAACAAACCGGTCTTGCATCTCGCTGTGATAAAAACCATTTTTCAATAAATTAATTAGAGATCAAGCTCCCGGGGGAGGTGGGGACGCAGATTGAAAGTGCGATAGCGCATGGGAGCTCTTAATTGGAAAATAAGACGTTTCAGCTGGAGGAGATGTTTATCGACATTCGATATTACCGATTATTCGATATTTCGTTCTACATGTTGACTATTCGTTCGACGTTAACTGCGATACCTTCCAAGTTGACGAATACATTCATATTCGATAATTTTTCTCGATATCGATATCTCTACGTTGAACATAGGGTAACTAGCAGGGCCACTCTCTGCCGGCCCCTTTGATCGTTGCAGCCCCGATCACGTGGTATTCCGCCATACACCAGGGCAGGATCCTCCTAACTTACAGCTTATACGTAGCTTATGATTGACCACTCAGAGCCAATCATATGCCCATTTTTATCGAGAGCCTCAAGCCACCCAAGACATCTGGCTTTGGGGTTGCGGTTATATTCCGGAATATTTATGCGAGAAAAATTTGTACTTACTGACAATTTGCAGTATATGCGTGTAAGTATATTATAATCTTTTGAGTGAAATTTTTCTACAAAGTAACATTTCAGTAACCTTGATCCTAGGTATTTCTTTTACGTGTCGTTCAACAAAACGGTATTTAACCAAACTCGTTTAACGACGGAAATCGCTGCACCCAACGAGAATATTGACGATTCGAAACTCATCAAGCTTGTTGAGGCAAACGATTGCCTATAAATTTCCTCGTCTCCGATTGGCTAGATTATTAGCGACTTATGACTCATTGCGGATCAACGTTTTTCTTTACGATTTCCAACTCGCGGTTTACGATTTCTGACTGCTGGCTTCTGTCTCCATGGCTACGTTTCCACCGAGGGTCAAAGTTGGACTAGGGTAGGGTCAGAATCGAGTTGGGGCGATCGCTCTCGCGGTGGAAACACTGAACCCCGCCTTATAAAATTTTTAAGTTAATGAGGTTCGACGGGCCAAACGCGGTTCGGTAGAAACGACAAGAGTCTTGTTAGGTTCTTGTAGTGTTGCCAACAGGTTAAACAGTAATAAGTAGCTTTTTTATTTATAAGATAGGGTTCAAGGTTTAAATTTGGTGTTTCCACCGAGGCGCTCACCCCAACTCGACTCTGACCCGACTCTGACCCGACTCTAACCCGACTCTGATCCTCGGTGGAAACGTAGTCATTGTAGACCGGGCCTTTGTACACTACGGTTCGAGCTCGCGTCCGTTGTCGCGCGTCGGTGAATGCAGGCCGATCGGGCGCGCGTGCGATCTTTATTCGACGGCCCGACAATGCACGCGCGCCGGCACAATCCCCGATTTTCGCCGGCGAGCAACGGGACGCGAGCGGAAAGGTAGGTACTCGCCACGCTCTGGCGTAATGACGGGTCTGTTCCACGCTATCGTCGTAGCGCAACGCGCGCCTCTAACGCCCGGTGCTCGTTACAGAAGCGACGTCTCTGAGGCGCGATAATAAATGGGTGGTTTCGCAATAAGGAGCGCTCTTTAGCTCCGCGCTGCTACGAGAGGTATGTAAAGTTGCGCGAACAACAAGTGGCAATCGCGCGATTTACGACGGCGCGTATAGCGTTTCCGCCATAAATGACTTTGCGTCATTCTTACGCGCCCGTTGTCGCCCGCGTTAATTTTACGGTTCTCACGGTGGTATTTTTACGCGGGGGCGAACGCGCGCGATAAAAATACGCCATTTGCATCCTCGAATCCTCACCTCGTTCGTTCACCGTCAATTATTCATTCTAATTGACATTGACGCCGAGCGTACGGGCTAATCTTAATTGATGTTAAATTAATTGACGTTAAATATAGGAGAGACGCGCCGTTCCGCGTTTTATTCGTGCACCTCCGTGGCGAGAGGCAACGTCGCCCATCAATTTTTGATTTTTGTTTTTCACCGCGAGAAAAACAGCGTCGGTTTCAACAACGGACGTGAAAATAAAATGTTTATTTTCCCCGGCGCGTCACACAATAAATATTCGAGGTAGACAACGGGGCAGATAACGAGACTTTATCGGGAGCTCCGATAAATTTCGTTTAAACGTCAAAGTCTCTGTTTAGAGAAGCGCGTTATCGCAAAGTTGCCGGTTTCGACGATCAAGAACAGACGCACGCGCTGTATTTTTATAATCGCCGAGACAAATTCCACTTGGAAAATTCGAAAAGGCTTCGACGACCCAGCGCGCATTTCAGAGAAACACGAGCTTACACACGCAAAGGCCTTCACACACAAAATTCCGTAAGGACGCAAAACGTAAGCGTAAGAAAATGGACCAATCACAGTCGAGAACGTAAGGCAATAACGCAAGCGAATCCAATCTGTTGATTTCCTTAGTCCCAGTCTACAATAGATGATTTAAGCCCTAAGCTTTAAGAAATTGGCCAATCACGATCAAGTATGAGTAGAATGCGCGACTGTGATTAGTCAATTTCTTATGCGTGGTCTACAATACGTGGAGTAAGCGTGGAGTAAGGAGTAAGGGAGAGCCCTAACTTCTAGCTTTTGGTGTAAGGAAGCTGAAATACGGGCATGATTTTTAAAATAATTGTAACATTGATTGATGGCATTTTGATTCACCGAGAGTAAGCCCAAGAGCTGAAGTAGGAGTAAGAAATAAAATGGATTTATTTCCTTACTCCTACTCCTTACTCCAGCTTACTCCATGTATTGTAGACCAGCCTTTAAGGCTTAGGGCTTAAATCTCTATTGTAGACTGGGACTTACGCTTACGTTTCACGTCCTTGCGAGATTTTACGTGCGACGGCCTCTAGAAATGAATTCGGTGACGATTTATGTGCGCGCGGCGCCAAGAGAAAGCAAGAAGCTCCCGGGAAAAAGTTTCCACGATCAACGAGCGCGGAGCAGCGGCAACGGAAGAAAGAGAGACTCACCTTGCACGGCGAGAAGAAGCACCAGGAGGCCGAGTATTCGCGGCGGCAGCATCTTTTCCCCCCCGAGTCGTTCCGCTCGCTTCGTTTCCTCCTTTGCCTCCCGTTTAAACCACTTGACAACCAACGGCACAATGCGCACCACTCGCCCCTCGGACCGAAACTCGCCGGCGGTCGTCGCGGATCCTACGGCGAAGATCGCGCGATCGATGGCAACACGCGCGCAGGGGGGGGAGGAGGGGCGGTCGGGGGAAGAGACGCGTGCAATCTCCGAAGGAACACCCGGGCGACTTGGATCGCGACGAAAGGGATCGGAGGCACGCGCGGCGGTGGCGTATCCGCGTCACACCGTGAAACGCCGTACTTCTCGCCTCGCCGCCCGAACGGTAATCGAGCTGGACACCGAATACAAACTGAGCGCGAGCGAGGCGGACGCGCGCGCGGTACTTACGCGGGATCCGTAGAGCGGCGGCGGGATCGCGCCCCCGGCTTTTTACGGGGACCTGCGCGGTCCGGCTGCGCAGTCGCGCGCGCCGGCCGAACCGGCCGAGCCTCGCGCGGCGCGGCGGCGCGCTCGTCCTTTGGCGGAGCGCGCAGATGTGTTGGTGCGCTTCCACGTGTGCGCTGAGGTTCGCCGCGAATTCGAACTTTAAGCTGAGGATGATACATACGCCGAACACATTGGGCGTGTTCCTCTCGGTGCCACTGACGGTACACCGTGAGCACTTTTTCCTTCAAATTTAAGCCTATCACACAACGCCAGGCAACAGGCAACAGGAATAGGGAATAGAAGTTTTGACGCGTTGGATTCGTCGGAAATTTTCGTCCAACCAATCCAACGCGTCAGAAATTCTATTCCCTGTTCCTGTTGCCTGGCGTTGTGTGATAGGCTTTTTCCTGAGAATCATGTAAATGCCAGTCTGCAATAGATAATTTAAGCCCCGGGCTTTAGGAAATTGGCCAATCACGGTATGAGTAGAATACACGGCTGCGATTAGTCAATTTCTTAAGGCCTAGGGTTTAAATCTCTATTGTGGACTGGCACTAATGGAACATGGCGTTTTGAAGATCCTTATGAGTTTTTTTAAATTTTATTGTACATTCCATTAGTAAAATCAAAAATGTATACTTGTAAGTACTAGTAAAGTTTCAAAAAACTCTGATAAAATTCTTTGAAATGCCACGTTTCACTGTATATACATTCTACTAGTAAAATGTATACTAAGTATAATTACTAGTAAAATGTGTAGTAAAATTTCAAAATATTCCCATAGAAATCTTCGAAATGCCACACTGAAAAAAATTTCTGGTTGAATATGGACGAATCAGATAATTCCTTTAGGATTTACCAGAATTCCTTTAGGATTTACCAGAATTTCTGTAGGATTACAGGAATTCTGGTAAATCCTAAAGGAATTCTGGTAAATCCTAAAGGAATTATCTGATTCGTCCATATTCAACCAGAAATTTTTTTCAGTGCACGTTTCACTGTACACGCACCGGCATAAATGCAGGGACTAGAGTCCCTGTAGTTGTGTGCGTGCACCTCACAAGGATAAGGACAGCATTTATGCCGGTGCGTGTACATTCTACTAGTAAAATGTATACTAAGTATAATTACTAGTAAAATGAGTAGTAAACTTTCAAAAAACTTCTATAAAATTCGTTGAAATGCCATGTTTTACTGTACATTCTACTAGTAAAATGTGTGGTGAAATTTAAAAAACTCCCATAAAATTCTTCAAAATGCCGGGTTGTCCCACGATTACACGATCTCCAGGATAAACTTTGAGGAAAAATTCTCTCCGTGTGTTCCCAATAGTTTCAAGCATTCGATCTCAAAGAAATGGCGGATGGTTGCACCGAGTTATTACGAAGGATAACGAGGTTTCATTTGAGAACAATTTTCTCAGAAGCTGAATTCAGTAACAGCGCCCAGTACTGGCGCAAAATGTTTTATCTCCGCGATATTAATTCGGGGATAATAAATCGTTTACATAAAAAATTCCACGATCACCGCCGTTATCGTTTATCTTTGCGCAGACACTCGACACGCGCATAATCTCAGATGGTGCCGCGATAAGGCTAAATAGGTCTTTAACAAGATCTCGATTCCGGAATGCAATTATGTCGATTTCTTATCGATGTCACGCTCCACTCTGCTCGTTTCCGCGTGCGCGCTCGTACATATAAAAATGCACGGTGGTAAAAATAGAAACGCATATTCTCCGGTTTTCTCGCTCTCGAGTTAGACGTGTCCTCTCCCTGTCCACCGTTCTCGGATAAAAGTGCGCGTCGGAATCGAAGACGTTTAGCAAAACTCGATTCATTTTGGCGATAAAAGGCCTCGCGCAGTTTACTCGCAGACCTATTCGCGGACCAGTTTCCTTCGTCACAGATCATTTCTCGGAATGGCCGTCTGACATTCGAGGCAAAGCCGCCGCGGTCTCGCCAATGCCAAAGTTGGCTGCGAAAACGTATGAATGTAAGTAGGTGTAAAGTTTCTCGCGAGCGCACGCCGCGACGCATAAGCGGCCCGGCATGCCAACGTCGTTTACCTGCGCACATATGGGCACCGATTTGCACGCGACGGACGTATCATCCCGCTCGCTTATGTGTAAAACACGATGAGGACGTTAGGCGCTCGATTCCCGCTTTCTAAGCGAACGCCGATGCTACTCGGACTTTAACGCGAAGGACATGTCCTTTCCCTCCCGAAGGTCCCACCCGACATTCCTCTTTTACATCGCGATCCGATTACTCGTACAAGGAGGAAACGTGAGTCATGTGGCACGAGATTTCAACACACAGGGGTGATTAGTTTGACGATCGGTTAACAAGCCGATCGTCGCAATTGCCTACACAATTGCCTGCGGAATCGTGACTTGCTAATTAATTGACGACGCAGAGCCCGTCGTTTTAAATAAACGCGCGCTTTCTAAATTTATTTTCCTCTTCTCTTCTAATTGTAAGTTCTATATTTTTTGTTCAATAGTTTTCTTTCGAAGGTTGACTCTCACGTAAGCTTGTTTTCTCTCAAGCAACAAAGCTTCGTCTTTAAAGGAGGAGAACGGATTTAAAAATTAATTTTTGAAGAAAGAGACGAAATTAGTTGCGGAAATTCGCGCTCATTTATAGAACGTGAATTCCACGTTGTGGAATATTAAGGATCTACAGATTTTCCCCAAAGTTTTTAAGTTCTCGTTAATATGTTAGAATCGTGTCTTCTTTATTCACGTTTGATCTCTCTACGTTGTGAATAAAGATTATATGTAGAATGCGATCCTAGTAGCATAATATATTGGCAAAATATTGGGAAATAATGTAATCTAGCATTCCCAATATTGATCCTTCTCTTATGTAGCAATATTGGTTTAATATTGTATCAATATTAAAGGACTAATATTCTTAATACACTGTTAAATATTTACCAATGCACTTCCAATATAAATCTAATATTATGTAATTATTATCGTGCAATATTTATATTAATTTCATGACCAGTATTGGCTTTACGTTGGACAATATCGGCCAATGCATTTCTAATATAACCAATATTGGACCAATGTTTAGACATTAGGATCGCTAGATTGCGTCTTTATTCATGTTTGATCTCTCTATGTTGTGAATAAAGAAAATGATTTTTATATAACGTGAATTCCACGTCATGAAACATTAAGGATCTACAAATGTTTTAAATTCTCATTAATATATTAGCATCGCGTCAGATAGTTCGTCTTTATTCACATTTTACCTCTCTATGTTGTAAACAGAGAAGATGAATAAGGATCGTGACAAAACGAGATACGTCGTTGTTAATATAAAGCGATCGATTAGAAATACAGGGTG